CTAGCTCAACGATGGCTGAGGAGACTATTCGTTCCCCGACATATATATAATTTATAATTATAATTTATAATTTTTATACCCTTGCAGGGAATTATAATTTCAGTCAGAAGTTTGCAACGCAGTAAAGGAGACGTTTCCGACCCTATAAAGTATACAGTGGATCGCAGCTTATTTCGTGCAGTCAAGAAACTAAAGTCAAAATCGTCACTGCTGCTATACCATTAGAGATATCGAAAAAATTTAAATGCAGTGTTTTGAATCAGATATCCTACATTTTTAATTAAAAAAAATATATCTTCCCCATTAATAAGAACAAACAATAATATTAAAAAAAAACAAATTTATGACCTTTTTCCACGCCGCAGCTTATTTCGTGCAGCTAGTTAAAATGTAAGAAACAATGAATTTTTGGCTTAATTTTTAATTTTTTTTTTAATTTGGCTTTGGTATTGGTAGCTTTTGTATATTTTAAAAGTTTCTTGGCCTGATCACATTAAAATATGAAGCTATGGGGAAATAAGTAAAATAGGATCGCGAATATCTATTAAAATACGATAATTAGTTCTCTTTCAATTTAAGACAGGAAAAAAATCACCGTGATACTACTAAAATGTTATTCTTAAATCGCACATATATAAAAACATAAATTAATCGTTTGTCCGTGAAGATTGGGCCAAACATAAGGGCCGTAATGCGCCGAATACACTTTTCAGTGAACATTAGATTCATTATATGGACCAAAAATAAAGGGAAATCATTAACAAACGTCTGTCAAATTAGTTATATAGGTAGAGCACGAAATAAGGAACAAGTGTAGTGCCGATTTAATGCGCCTCTTGTTGCACAAATATATCTTTAATGCTCTAGTAGTATGAAAAGAGTCATTTATAAGGAAACCAGCACAGTAGCAACTTCAAAATTTTTCATAGGAGCTTATAATTCGGCCGATTTTCCTTTGGAATGTTTTTATCTTTACCAGGGAGTAAAAGTTTAACTAATTTAATCCTGATGACAGTCAAAATTATTGGCGGAGACCCAATATTGAGCTAATAAACCAAACACTTGCAAGCTACTCTGAAGCAAGGCGGCGATCGTGTCTTATTTGGGCCTAAATGGCTTCTTGTAGAGTAGGAATTTTTTTTAGCAGGATCTTGGATACCAATATGTTCCCTTCAATATAAAAGGTTAACTTCTTTCAAAATGTAGAAAACGTGGTCATACGGGATAGTTTGCAGAACTATTAGTGCAGCGGCCCCTACTACTTATCGGACATTCGGAAACTTTCACACAAAACGGTCCTAACGACAAAAAAACAACATCATGTTACCCAGACATAATCATTATTTAAAATTTTTGGCAAATATTGGACTAGCCATCCCAAAAATTAAAATGTTTGACCAAAATGATCAAAAAAGTAGTGCCTTAGAGGAATTGATCAAAATTGATCTAGAAACCCAAAAAAAACTAGTTATTTCAATTGAAACATCATCTGAAAGGTATTCAGAATAAGATAAGAGGTCACATAAAATTGTTTATATTAAATTAATAAAAATAAGTTGAATCAAACGAAGTGCACGAAATAAGCTGCGGAATGAAAAAAAGCCCTCAAATTTGTTTTTGTTTAAATACTAAATCGTTTTTATAATTTTCTAAAAATTGGTCGATCATTTGTATGGCAGCTATGTATATGATATAGTCGTCCGATGTGATGAGTGAGAGTATATAGACGACTTTATGCAAAGTTTCACTCAGATTGCTTTAAACTGAGGGATTAGTTTGCGTAGAAACGCACAGACGGACGGACGCACAGACGGACATGGCTAGATCGACTCGGCTGTTAATGCTGATCAAGAATATATATACTTTATAGGGTCGGAAAGGTCTCCTTCACTGCGTTGCAAACTTCTGACTGAAATTATAATACCCTGCAAGGGTATAGAAATACAAACTTTCAATCAATTAAGTAATTAGTTAAATCAATCAATAAATTTACAAACTTAGGTAACCAAAAGATTGTATACCCTTGCAGTTTACAATTTAATCGATTCAATTTAATTAAAAATCTGTCGAAGAAACTTGAGTCGTATAATACTTTGGTAAAATTAAAAATGGTTTTTTAAAATCGAACTAGAAAAAATTGTTTCGTAATCTGTCTATTTTAAGAAATAGCAAAGTTATGTAAATGTTATACGCATGCACGGTTGGCACTAAGCTAATATCATTGTAATAATATCTGCTTTCCATTTGGTTTAAAACAAGCCATTAAACAAAATTAATGAATATAAAGAAGATTTACTTTTCAGCCAACTAACTGTTGGAACCATAAGAAAATTAAATATTCCTGTTTAGCCGCGGAAATATTTATATGTATTCGGGAATATCTATATATATAAAAATGGAGACAAAAAATGTTACTAATGGCTGGGCCGATTTGGCTCAAATTTTTTTCAGTTGTTTGTAATTGTCAGAAGAAGGTAAGAAGGTAAGAAAATTTTGGGAAGTCCTTCCGGAAAAGTCGCTAGCGGCTCAACAGATGGACACACTGTTGTATGTAAAATTCTGAAACACCCTACAAAGATCATAGCTGCGTTGAAATTGTGTATCAATGAACTCAGTAAAAAAATATTTAAACAAACAAATCGAGCTAACGAAGCATTACCAATTGTAAGTAATGCCTGCTGTTAGACGATCAAGACTTGGACGGCGTTCACGCAATGCAATAAGTATTCAGAATTCCCGTAATAGTCGGACGCAAGAGGAACGTACAGAAATAAATGCATCGATACGTGCCCAAATGTCACAGCTTCTCGCTCCACAAAGATCACCTCAAGCCCGACATAATAATAGAGAAAGACGAGCCGCAAATGAAAACTTGAATCGTGCTGCATTCGCATACAATCCTGAAACATCCTACAAGGATCTTACCTGCGTTGTTATTGGTTCATTGTCTAGGATTGCAATGCACTGAAGTTTCGGTTGGAAACCCCCGGCTTATGCTGTGCAGGTGGCAAAATTAAATTGCCCGTTTTGGCTCATCCACCAGGGCCATTGTATTCGCTACTATATAGAAATTCAGCCCAATCAAACAGTTTCCTAAAGCTTGCACAAAAATATAACGGATGCTTTCCAATTACGTCATTTGGAGTCGAGGTTTTTCATCGATCAGGCTACAATCCAAGTTATAAGGTAATGGCGTCTCTTTATTATCAAAATTAACAACTCACATTTTTTCGAAATTGCATTCCAACATTCAGATTCATGGGCAAATTCACCACCGAGCGGGCGCTTTGTTATCACCACAAAACAAAGATCTTAAATTCCTTCAGATCTATTTCATTGGTGATTCGGCAGTTGAACTAAATCACCGCTGTGCAATTTTTACTGAAACTTAACGTGAAATTATCGAACAATTGCAAAATCTTCTCTATGAGCATAATGAATTGGTCAGATTGTTCAAAACTGGATTGGATATAATGCATTATGACGAACACAAAATCATTATCAGCGCTGACAAAAGACCCACTGGTAGCCATGCAAGACAATTTAACGCTCCCACTATCAATGAACACGCAGTGGTGATTGTTGGCGAGAATGTGGAATAACGCGATATTGTTTTTAACCGTCGGGATAATGGCCAAGTGCACCGAGTTTATGAGACTCATCGGTCACATGATGCTCTTCAATATCCGTTAATGTTCTGTCGTGGAGAAGATGGGTATCACTTCAACATAAAGATGGTCAATCCAACGACAGGTTTGTTTACAAGTCATCACTTCTTTTTGATTCTACAACTAAGTTTGAATTCAAATTCTAGGAGAAGAAACGAATAAGAAGGTCAACTCTATGAATTTTGATGCGTATCGATTGATGATTCGACTAGATGTTGACAATCATCTGTTAAGATACCACCGTTTGTTTCAACAGTACTGTGTCGACATGTACGTCAATGTAATAACGGAACGTCTCAATTTCATTCGTTTTAATCAGTCGAAGTTCGGTCAGACGAGTACATTCACTTGCGTGACGCTATCGCTACTGAAGGACACGCGGCCAACATCGGTTGTTTGACCAATCTCCCAGCTACTTATGTTGGAAGTCCGCGCCATATGCAAGGGCAAATTTAAAGGAGAGGTAGTTCTTATCCCACGAATTCCTATTATTCCAACAGATCTTCCATTCCAATTCAAGACGATTCAGTTCCCAGTTCGATTGGCATTTGCGATGACCATCAATAAATCGCAAGGCCAATCGTTGGAAGTCTGCGGGATAAATCTAGAATATCCATATTTTTCACATGGCCAGCTATACGTAGCCTGTTCGCGTGTGGGAAAGCCGTCATCATTATTTATTTTTACACCGGATAACAAAACAAAAAATATTGTTTATCAGATCGCTCTCCACAGATTTCAAGTCAAAAAAATTTGACCATCCAACGACAGGTTTGTTTAAAAGTCATCACTTCTTTTTGATTCTCAACTAATTTTGAATTCAAATTTTAGCCTAAAATTTTTAGGAGAAGATAGGAATAAGGTCAGCTCTATGAATTTTTATGCGTATCGATTGATGATGTTTCAACAGTACTGTTTCGACATGTACGTCAAAGTAGAAACGGAACGTCTCAATTTAATTTGTTTTAATCAGTCGAAGTTGGGGCGAGATAAAGTTCGCCGGGTCCACTAGTTTATCATAATTTCCGTATATGTCTACCAATAACACACCGTAAACAACATTACAGAAATTGTTCATTTTCACAATGCACCCGCTCAGTCTATCTAGCTAACAGGCAATAGTTTATGATCTGCCAGGCATCAAAGTCCCCTCCGCTCCGTTAACAAAAGGATAAAAAACTTGAGTACCTTGAAAAACGCAAGAATTAGGTAAAATGGTCTCGCATTTTCAGTTTATTATTGAGCATCCACAACTATACCCAAAGGCAAAAAGATAACGGTTAAAGGGCAAAACAAAACAACAACTATATAAAACATTAAAGATATACGTACTTGTGAATTCTTATACATTGATCGTGATGGCCTTGTGTGGCTATCATAACATCCGCTTCATCTAATACAAAAACCGATACTTTGTCCATTTTAAAAAGACGGAATTTTAATCCCCAATCTAACATTTTTCCTGGCGTTCCAATAAGAATATGTTCCGTTATTTTTTTATTGCGGTCAACTGAAAGTAAACAATTTTATGTGTTGAACCATTGAATGTTAGATAAAATTAAAGGAAAAACCTTCTTCTCCGCGAACAGCAAATCGAAGTTTTATTTCTGGACAAAACTGTCCCATCCGGGCCGCTACTTCCCCCGTCTGTATGGCTAATTCATACGTTGGAGATAAACACAAAACCTTAAAAAAATATAATATTTAATTATTATTTAATTATATTAACTTTACTATTAGACAAGAACTAAGAGATTAGTAAGATCGGGATAAATAACAGTCATGTAGACTGGAAGGTCGTTACGTAGTAGGCGGGAATGCATACATATGTAAGCGAAAACAACAACAATGGAAAAACAACCAGGCCGCTGCGGTTGCTAGTCGAAGAGTCGAGAAAACAAAAACACTTTCGCACCCTTATGTGGATTAGTATTGGGTTTTCGATTTTTTTTAAAGTTATTTATTTGAATTTGTATTAATTTTTGTTTCTATATTGGAGGCAGAAAATATATGTTGTACAGTGGAACCCCGGTAACTGGACTGTAGTTGTAAGGGCGTACAAATATTATGGAGGCAGAAAATATATTATACATGGGCATGCATACGTACATATATATACCAGGGGTGTTAGTTGAAGTTTGCCGGTTTTACTGTTGATGCCGCTAGCAGTACTATATACATTTGTATCATTCGGAATATGTGTCATTTTTTTCTGTTGACATTAACCTAAAGAAATACACAAGTCGCATTCCGTCAAAATAAAAACATCATACTTTTTTACCTCAGTGAGTATGTCGAGTTTTGTTCCAAGTAAATCGAATTTGCGGGACCCATGTGTTGTCGTGAAATTCGAGTTATTAAAACCTTGGTCAAATTGTTAAAAAGTATCGCTACCGACGACAAATTATCAATTTGAATAATGCGTTGATCGAAAAACGGCCGAATGGGCCCGAAAACATGGCAAAGTTATCTTGCAACATGACAACGCGCCGACTCATACCGCTAAACTGACGAAGGACACACTGAAAGGACTTGATTGGGAAATATTATCGCCCCCGCTGTACTCTCCAGACCTCGCCCTGTCCGACTATCACCTTTTTGCATCGATGGGACACTCACTGGCAGAGCAGCACTTCGCCAATTTTGAAGAAGTCGAAAAATGGCTCGTCGAATGGTTTGCCTCGTAAGAAAAAAAGTTGTTTTAGAATGGTATCCATAATTTGCCTGAAAGATAGGCGAAATGTGTAGAAGCCAATGGTCAATACTTTAAATAACAAATTTTTCACATTCTCTTGAAAATTGAGTGTTTTCTTTATCGAAAAAACCGGCAAACTTCAACTAACACACCTGGTATGTGTGTATGTCTAAAGTTTTTATTTGTACATTGCACTATGGGCCAAAAATCGATTTCTTTTTGGCATAAATTCTAATTTTGAAAATAGAGGCTTGAAACTTTTCAGATATGCCTTTTATTGCAGTTTGACCACGCCTTCCGTTCCGCTTCCTTAAGGGGGTCTTCTCATTGGGCAACTTTTTTTTTTCGATTTTTTTTTGCATTTATTCATAGCTTGGGATGGTCTGTATATGTCCCCAAAAGGATTTTTAGAAATTCGAAATACTTTAGAAGATACAGCCTTTTTTGTGAAGCAAGGTCTTCGCAAAATGGGCTTTTTTCAAACTTTAAACGCGTTTATCTCGAAGCCACGTTTTTCGAACTGGCGGCCATGATATCTCCAATTCAACTGAACCGATTTTCATGAAACAAAGTGGAATCAACGCAGAATTGTCACCATTCTCGGGTGACGGAACAAATTTTTGTATATTTTTTTTTATATTTTTTTTTTTACACTAAACTACAAATAAAAAAAAGGCCGAAATCGAAATTTTTTTTTGAATGGCCGCCATTTTGTTTAAAAAAAATTTAAAAAAAAATCTGTTCCGTCACCCGAAAATGACATCTATTCTTATTATAAGCCCGTTTTTATTTTTCATTTCGGACGCTCTGGAGACCCTGAATCGTGGCCGCCAGGACGATACCTTTTTTTTCCACCACCAAGTTTGAAGTTTTATTACTCTTTGAACAACCCTCGTATCGAGGTAAAAAAATTTTTTTATTTACTTTGAACATTTTTTAATACAATAAATAAAAAAGTTTTCAATTATTCGTTGCGTTTTCAAATAAGAATTTTTTTAAAAAGGGTCCAAAAAACGGCTTTTGAATGAGAAGACCCCCTTAAAGCTTTGGGCAAATGGTCTTTTATTTTTAGGCATGAAGTCTAATTCTTTGAATATTTTAGAGACGATTAAAACTTTCAACATTTAATTGTAATTGAATTTCCAAAAAATTTTTTTGTTTATTGGACCACGCCTTTCGTAACGCCCCTTTTAAGAGATTTTAAAATAAATTAAAATAGTCTTCAATAATACTTAGAACAAGTTAAATTTTAATAATTTCGTAGCATATTTTAAATTGTTGTACAACTATATTTTAAAATTTTATTTTGTCTATACTTATGTAAAATTAAAATAAACGGCCGCTTCGAGAACCGGCGACTATTGGTCAACAGCCAGTTGAAAATTCTATTCAACATTCAGGCTGTCCCTCAAAGTCTGAAGTCGCTCTAAAAGAGCTGCAAGGCACCGTCCAAAGTTGCTTGACAGCCTTAGAGATGTCCTCTATTCAAATCAAGGCGTGGGATTGCCTCCTAGTTTATATGGTTTCCCTAAAGCTTTGCCATCTAGGGCGCAGTTTCCAAGCGCGAGCCTTGATCGACTCTGGTTCCAAGGCAACCTTCATTACGGAAAGGTTGTGCAATCAAATCAACCCACCATTCAAGCTACTTCAGACCCGAGTTTCCGGTCTCAATGAGACAGTAGCCGCTCATTCCACCAAGCTCTGCAGTCTCTCTATTCAAGTGCCTTCCAAGCCCGGGCTGCAGCTAGAAACTGCAGCTTATGTTGCAGAAGTAGTCTGGAGTTGGTCAAAACTTTGAGCAGATCGTTGATAAATAATGTAAACAATAGGGGACCCAAATGACTCCCTTGCGGGACGCCAGATGTAACCCTAAGAACATTTTTAAAGATAATCTTTTACGTCCTGTCATTTAGATAACATGAGATCCAATTAAGAAGATCAATCGGAAATCTCATTAAGGGGGTATCCTGAATTACAAGGTCAAAAAAATCGATTTTTTTTTTTTATTGCTTAAATCGATATATATATACCACAAAAATTTCAGAAGCCAATTCGAAGTATTTTCGAAGATAGAGATGAAAGCAAAGGAGCGCCGAGCAGGTTTGCGAGCGCTTGGGCGAACTTTGAAGCGCGTTTTCTCCACTTTTCATTTTTACGAACAAAAAAACTTATTGACCGATTGAAACGAATAAAGGCTTATTCTCTTTAGAATTAAATTCTCTTCTAAATGAAACGGTTGTTGAAAACCACTTTTTTATATTTTTTACAGCATGTTAAAGTCAATATTTTATCCCGAAAAATTCATTTTTTTTTAAACCTGAATAAAAGTTCCGATTTCACGATTTTCTCCGTTTTTTCTTAGTTCAAATAGAAAATGCACTTATAAAAATTGAAAATTTTTTTGAATTTTTTGTTTCAGACAAAAATTACGAGCTGCACATTTCCCGCCAATTAGGGACTGCTGTGACGAGGCGCTTCAGTGAACTACTTATAGGTCCGCCATTTTAAAATATTTTCTTTTTTTTATTTATTTATTTAAGCACTTTAAATATGTATAAAAATATACCAAAAATTGCAAGAAGCTTGGTCGTTTCTTTACCTTCAAAAAAAATCGCGAAAAACAACTAATTTTTGGCCTCCTAATTCAGGATACCCCCTTAAATCGAGTTTTCGAACAAGAAGAGAATGGTTAACAGAGTCGAATGCTTTACTGAAATCAGTATAGATTACATTTATCTGGAAGTTATTTCGGTAGCCCTTTATAATGAAGGAAGTGAGCTCGAAAAGATTGGTTGTAATTGATCTTCTTTAAATAAAACCATGTTGACATAGAGAAATAATGACCTACAAAGGTGCTGCAAATGAGGAGTAATGACATTTTCGAACAGTTTTGTGATGGCCGACAATTTTTCCTATATACAGCTGTGTTCGATGAAATAGCAGTGCGACAGAGGAAAAACTTACGTTTTTTTTGCATATTCCTTTTTGTTAGTTGATCTATTGAACTTTTTTTTGTAAAAGGGAACATAAAGATAAGAATCGAGAAAAAATTCCGTTAGATTTGCTCTATTTTTATGATTTATTGGTATTTTTCACACATACAGCAGTTTATAAATTTCTTGCCGAAATTTCTTTTTATCTTGTGAAAAATGAGTTTAATTAAGGTCGTTAATATAGTTTATACGATAATACACCTTTACAACGAAAAAAAATATTTTAGTGGGTGCAGGACCTCACTGATCCATGAGAGAAAGGGATGAGATTATTTAGCCTAGAAAAAGGGCAAAACATATAAAGAAACTCCAAGTCCTTCATATTGTTCTTTTAAAATAGTTTATAATCCCATAAACTATGAATCGAACCCAAAAAAAACCGAGGTGGAATTCGCAAAACTACAATTTTAGAGGCTCGACGCGTACTTCGCTTTAGCAAAGCTAGTCCTTTTGCTTCCTCTAGGGATATAAGAGAGGGAATTGGCATATGAATCAGTTATGTGACTATTCGTCGGGGACTTATTAAAAAAAATTTTAGATTCGCGAAGTCCATGGAAGATGTCACTGCTAGGTTAAATGCATATCAAGGCCAGATTGGAGTTCGCCAATAGCCACTTGAACTGCCACTATTCAAATGGCGTAATATCCATTGGACAAATGAATCCAAACTGGTTTTATTTGGTGGAATAGGACAAGACAATATGTTCGGCGACCTCCAAATACTTAGTACCACCCAAACCATACACTGAAGACAGTAAAGCACGGTGGCTTAAAAATAATGGTATGGGTATACTTTTCATACAACGTTGTAGGTCCCGTATATATGATCGATGGGATCATAGACCATTATGTTTATGTCCAAATATTAAAAACTGTCTTGCATCCGTATCCTGAGGAAAATATGCCATTAATTCGGACATTTCAGCAGGACAGTGACCCTAATCATACCAGCAAGGTGGCCAAGGAGTGGGTTCCTAAAGAAAAAGTGGATGCAATGC